ACACCTACAGAAGAGGTTCCAAAAAATTTTGAAACCCACCACTCACACACATACACACACACACACACACACACACCCAGACTCACACAGAGAGAGAAAGAGAAAGAAAGGAAGAAATAAAAAAGAAAAAAGAAAAAAGAAAGAAAAAGTGAGAGAGAGATGAAAGAAAAAAAGGAAAAAGGGACAAATAGACAAAAGGAAGGAAAGAGAGAGAGAGAGAGAGGGAGAGCAAACACATAGCTGACAAGCCACTCCCACCAGGTCACATGGCCGGTAAGCCACTCCCACCAGGTCACATGGCCGGCAAGCCACGCCCACAAAGGAGACCACACCCACAGAGTAGGTTCGAAAAATTTTTGAAACCCACCACTGGAAAGAGATTAGTGTTGAGAAGAGACCAAAAACTGGCTCCCCACTGAATCAATGAGGTGGAAGAGGAAGGAAGGAAAATCACAACCACAATCGCAAGAGTTTGTTAATGGAGCCCATCCAGATGCTTGGCAAACGACTCGTGTTTACGACGGTTGCACTGTTGCCCGGGGTCACCTGATTCCCCTTTTGCGACCTTCTGACAAGCCAAGTTGACGGGCAAAGCCAGATTCATGTAACGACGGTGTGACGAGCTTTACGAGTGCAGTGATTTGCTTAACAATCGTAAGAGATCGTAAAAGGGGGCAAAAACTCCCTTAATAAATATCTCGCTTAGCAACAGATATTTTTGACCTCCATTGTGATCTATTCGCTCCCTGAGCTCACAAAAGCACACAGACAGGGATGAGATTCAGCCGGTTTGGACCGGTTCGCCGAACCGGTTGTTGCAAGGAGTAGTGGCTGGCCCTGCCCACCCCACCAGCCTCTCCCAGGCCCGTGTGGAGGCTCTGGGAGGGCAAAAAACGGGCCTACCAGAAGTTCTGGAAGTCCCGAAATGGGCCTGTGGTCGTTTTCATTCTCCCGGAGGCTCGGGAAAAGCCTCCGGAGTCTGGGGAGGGTGAAAATGCCCCCCCTGCCCCATGAGGCAACTGAGTGGGCCATGCCCCCTTTTGGCCACGCCCACATCCAGAGAACCGGTTGCTAAAATTTGTCAATTTTAGCAACCCTCCTCTCCTGAAGCCCATGTGGGACTGAGCATAGTGGGAGTTGTAGTCCTAACAATTCTGAAGAGGAACCCGTCTTGGGTCAGGGGTGGGTGTGAAAGGACGATTGATCTCTCTCCCCTAAAGAGGGCTTCCCACATGGACCCCTCCCCTCCTCATCCCTTCTTCTTCCTCATCTGTTTTCTGTATTCGGCTCTCTCTGGGTGTATAAATAAACCTGTTTTCTGTTTTGTGGCACAATTTTTCCAGTCCTGGGGCAAGATCTCTCCCAGGGGTGAGGGGCTGGTTGAGCCAGGCAAGATAGAAAACAGGAGGCAAATGTATTCCTGGGGGTGGGGTGGGGGCTTCAAAGGCTTTGCTGGAGACCCCAAAACTATGGAAGGGTGAGGAAGGTCTGGTTTCCCACCCCCAACGAATTGGATAACTCTGTTTGCACCCAAGGAGGTCGTTCTGCTGAACTCTTCTGTCTAAGGACCTCTCTCTCTTTCCCTCCCTCCATTCCTCCCTTCTTCCCCCCTCTCTCTTCCCTCTCTCCCCTCCTTCTCTCTGTCTCTTTCTCTGTCTCTTTCTTTCTTTTTCTCTCTCTCTCTCTTCCCCTCCCTCCCTCTCTTTCTTTCTGTCTCTTTCTTTCTCTTTCTTTCCCTCCCTTACTCTCCCTCTGTCTTCCCCTCTCCCTCTCTTTCTTTCTGTCTGTCTCTTTCTTTCTCTTTCCCCCTCCCTCCCCTCTCAGGGTGTTTGTGTGTATCTTTCTCTGTCTCTCTTTCTTTCTGTCCCTTTCTCTCTCTCTCTGTCTCTCTCTTCTCTCTCTCTCTCCTTTCTCTCTGTCTCTCTCTCTCTCTTTCTGTCCCTTTCTCTCTCTCTCTCTGTCTCTCTCTTCCCTCTCTCTCTCCTCTATCTTTCTGTCTTTCTCTCTCTCTCTCTTTCTGTCCCTTTCTCTCTCTATCTGTCTCTCTCTTCCCTCTCTCTCTCCTCTCTCTTTCTGTCTCTCTCTCTCTCTCTCTTTCTGTCCCTTTCTCTCTCTGTCTGTCTCTCTCTTCCCTCTCTCTCTCCTCTCACTCTGTCTTTCTCTCTCTATTTCCTGCTTTATCCAGATACACAGGCAGTCTTTGACTTATGGCCATTCATTCAGTGACTGTTTGAAGTTCCAACCACACTGAGAAAGTGACTTACAACCACTTCTGTTTATGACCCTTGCACCATCCCCGGGATGATAGGATCAAAATTCGGACACTTGTCAAGGGCTTCACATGGATGAAAGCTGCAGCGGTTTTTTTTGGGGGGGGAGGGCGTCACGTGATCCCCCTTTTTGCGACCTTCTGACAAGCAATGGGGGAGCCTGATTCACTTAATGACCATGTTACGAAACAACTGCAGCGATGCATTTAAGAACGGTGGGGAGAAATGTTGGGAAAATGAGGGAAAACTCACTTCACAGCTGTCCCACTTAGCCATAGAAATGTTGGGCTCAGTTGGGGTTGTAAGTCAAGGACTTGCAATCATTTGTTTAATCACTCTTACATTTGCCTGATGGCAGAACCTGGAGCCCTGCAGTTAGTCGGTTCGCCTGTCAGTTAATGGTTCCTCCCTCTGTCTCTTTCTTTCCTTATTCCCTTCCTCCACCCCTTCTTTGTCCCTCCCTCCCTCCCTTTCTTCCTTTCTTCCTCCCTCCCTCTGTCCCTTCCTTCCTACTTCCTTCCTCTCTCTCTCCTTTCTTTCCTTCTTTCTTTCATTCCTTCCTCCATCCCTTCTTTGTCCCTCCCTCCTTCCCTTTCTTCTTTTCTTCCTCCCACCCTTCCTCCCTCCCTCTGTCTCTTTCTTTCCTTATTCCCTTCCTTCCTTCCTTCTTTCCTTCCTTTTCCTCCATCCCTTCCTCCCTCCCTTCCTCCCTCCCTTCCTCCCTCCCTTCTTTCTTTCTTTCTTTCTTTCTTTCATTCCTTCCTCCATCCCTTCATTGTCCCTCCCTCCATCCCTTTCTTACTTTCTTCCTCCCTCTGTCTTTTCCTTCCTTCCTTCCTACTTCCTCCCTCCCTCCTTTCTTTCCTTCTTTCTTTCATTCCTTCCTCCATCCCTTCTTTGTTCCTCCCTCCTTCCCTTTCTTCTTTTCTTCCTCCCACCCTTCCTCCCATCCTCTGTCTCTTCTTTCCTTCCTTCCTTCCTTCCTTCTTTCCTTCCTTTTCCTCCATCCCTTCCTCCCTCCCTTCCTCCCTCCCTTCCTCCCTCCCTTCTTTCTTTCTTTCTTTCTTTCTTTCATTCCTTCCTCCATCCCTTCATTGTCCCTCCCTCCATCCCTTTCTTCCTTCCTTTCTTCCTTCCACCCTCCCTCCCTCTGTCTCTTCCTTCCTTCATCCCTTCCTTCATCCCTCCCTCCCTCCCTGCCTTCCTCCTTCCTTCCTTTCTTCCTCCCTGCCTTCTTCCCACTCTTCATCCCTCCTTCCTTCCTTCCTTCCTTCCTCCCTCCCTCCCTCCCTCCCTCCCTCCCCCCCCTCTCTCTCTGTGAGTGTCTTTGTATGTGTATGTGGAATTCTAGCTAAAAAGCTTGCAAAAGGAAATACAAATTGTCCAAGATAAAAATCATCGTAATTTGCCTTCATAAAAAACCAACAACCCTACATTAACCCTTGATAGAAAGGGCTCCGTGTTGTTCAGATAGTCCTTGACCAAAATCAATCTCTCAAGTTCATCCCCTACAGCCAACAGGAATATATACCGCATTTTTCAGAGTATAAGACGCACCAAGATTTTGAAGAGACCAGGATCAAATAAAATAAAAAAGTTTTTTTGCACTCTGCAGACTTTGGGGGGGGGGCAAAAATGCTGTATTCAGCGTATAAGACGCACCCAGATTTTCACCCTCTTTTTGGAGGGAAAAAGGTGCGTCTTATACTCTGAAAAATACGGTAGTTATTCAAGAAAATGAGATTTCCCCCTCTAAAATTCCAGGTTTTACATATCACAGCACTACAACACATCTTTATTGTGTGCTTTTAAATTGTGTGCTTTTAAATTGTGTATTGTTTTGTTTGTCTTTTTATCCTGCCCCGGAGCAACACGGTAATAAGGGAGGACAGAGAACTTATAAGAATAAAAGCAATTAGAAATTTATTTGACTTGCTAAAGTTAAGTTATTATGTCGGAGCAACGGGGGACAATTTTCCGTAGAAAACTCCCTGTATATCCAAATAAGCTTCTCTAGAAAATCACAATCCTGGTCTCTTGGTATCCTTTGGAGATGTTAAAAGTCAAGAATGTTTTCCGATCCCAAAAGATGCCACATTCTTCTGGGAAGCCCAGAAAAAAAATCCAGAAATCACCACGGCTGAAATTCAGTTGGCATCTCCAGGTCTGATGGAGGTTTCCACCACTGATCACGTCCCACCAAAACCGATGGTCTTAGCTGTCCTCACCAGGAGTTACGTGGCTCCCCCAAAAAATCATGAATTATTTCGATCTCGGAGGCACAAGGTCTCCACGGCTTTGGTAGACCTCTTCACTTGCTGGTCATCATCCTCAGGAATTCCTCATAATTCATCTGCCCATCTCCATCCAGGTCCGCCACCTTCAGCATCTCCTCGACTTCTTCCTTGGACAACTTCTCACCCAAGTTGGTCATGATGTGCCTCAGCTCCGCGGCGCTGATGTAACCGTTCCCATCTTTGTCAAAGACCTGGAAGGCTTTCCGGATCTCGTGACAATCACGGTTCTTGATTTCCTTTTCCATCAGGTTCAAGAAATCCGGGAAGTCAATGGTGCCGTTTTTGTCAGTTTCCAGCTTGTGGACGATCTCCCTCAGCTCAGCTTCAGTGGGGTTTTGTCCCAAGGATCTCAAGACGGTGCCGAGTTCCCTGGTGGTGATGGTCCCGTCTCCATTCCGGTCGAAGAGCATGAAGGCTTCCTTGTACTCGGCAATTTCTTGTTCCGTCAGAGAGGTCATGGTGTCTTCTTCTGCCCCACCAGCTCGCCGATCGTCTTCTGCGGCTGGTTGCTCGTGGTGGCGGTGAAGAACTGCTCCCCTTCCCTTGGCCCAAAGGTAGGGTTGCTTTTTCTGGCTGGTTTCCAGAGATGTTTTGGCATCTCGCAACGAGGAGACAACACCCTGGCTTTGATTCCATTGGAGCAAAGTCAAACTGTGGAAATCTTCTGCTGAAGGGTCCACACCCTTTGCGTTAGGAACCTGCTAATCTTGTTTGGGCCGGGTCCGGAGGAGATTCACGATGTCTGGGTTTCATCCCATGTCTTTATGGGTCTGAAGCAGAGGTGGGTTCCTACCAGTTCGCACCAGTTCGGTAGAACCGGTTCGTCAAGTCTACCGAACTGGTTAGAAGAGGGTCCACCAGTGGACCCGGAAAGCAGGCCACACCTACAGAAGAGGCTCCAAGATTTTTTGAAACCCACCACTGACACACACACACACACACACACACAGACAGACAGACTCACACAGAGAGAGAAAGAGAAAGAAAGGA